CAAAAGAACATCTAAATTCGAGACGAATTAAACTTTTTTTTTTGTTTTTGTTTTTCGAAGAATGCAATGAACGTGATTGTGAGTAATCTCTTTTTTTACATTTCAACCTGCTCTTCTTCTCCAAACGAAGATTTTTTTTTCTTTTTTCTCCTACTTTAAATTTATTCGATTTTTTTTCATTATTTCTTTTTAAATCTAAATTTAAAAAAAAAAATTATTTCAATACAAATTTATTATATTTATTTATTATTTATTTCAATATAAATTCATTAAATTTATTTATTATTTATTTCAATATAAATATTCATTAAATTTATTTATTATTTATTTCAATAGTAAATAAAAAATGAGAATAAAAAATAAATAAAAATTCAGAATCGAAAATTTTAGTTTATTTCTAAAGCAAAAATACAGCGAAAAAAAAATAAATTTCAAACAAATTTTCTTTTCAGTTAATTGAATTTTTTTTTTATTTTAAATTTAATTTTCCTTTTTTCTCTGTTTTCCTTCTTTTTTTCAAAATATAAAAATTCTATTGTTTCATATAGAATAAAGGAGGAAGAATATCTATACGTGGAATCAGTAATTTTTCATATTCATGTAAATTGGAAGGGAAAACTTTTCAGAGATTCGCTCTATATATATAAAGTTTAAACTCAAAGTTACAAGGATTTAATTTAATGTAAGTTTCGAATAAGGATTTAAATCTTCTAAATCCCTGTAATTGAAAAACTTTACTAGAAATTAACTTTGTTTTTTTTAAACAAATCATCTAGTTTAAAGAATAATGTCGCATTATAATATTCCTAATGAAAAATGAGAATAAATTATTAAAATTCAATATATTTATATATTAGAATAAAAAATAAATAATTTGACAGATTAAAATCAGTAGTTTTTAAATTTGAAATCAATTTTTAATCAACAACAAATAATATAATTTGCATAATAATTTTATGCACTTTATTAATTAATTTTTAAGCTATTTTTACTTAATATTATAAATATTTTCATTACAAGCAGAGAAAAATTTTATTTAAATCAAGTAATTTTTATTTGAATCAAAGTAATTTTTACTAAAATCAATTTATTTTTGAACCAATAATTTCATTATTTGAACGATATGCTATTTAATTGATTGAAATAAATTTATTTCATATACGTATCGAAAACAATTAAATTTTCATAAATAGATGAACTTAAAAAGATTTAAAGTTTTGTAAAATTTTAATTTTAAATGAATTTAATTAGAAATATAAAAAAACTTGGATTTTTGAAAAATTTTAATAATTCAAAATCTTCTAAAATTAGTTAAGTTTGTCAATATATATTTAATTAATTATTAAAAATAATAGATTTATTGAAGAATTTTAGTTAAAAACACTAAAAAAATTGAATTTTGAAGAAGTTACAAATAATTGCAGAAATTCAATTATTTTCAAAAGTAATAAAATTCTTATCACAAAATTTAATTATTTTCAAAATTTACAAAAAAATTTCGACAAAATAATAATTATTATGTTTATAAATAAAAAAATTCTTTAAAATTCAATTATTATCAAAAATTTTAACAAAATTCTTTAAAATTCAATTATTTTTAATACAATTTTAATTGATTTCTTCGAAAAATTCAATTATTTTTAAAAATCTTGTAAAAATTCTCCAAGAAAATTCAATTATTTTAAAAAATAATTAAATTTTACACAATAAGAGTTCAATTATTTAAAAAATTTTTAATAAAATTTAATTCAAGAATTTCAATTATTTTAAATACAATTTTAATCGAATTTCTTGAAATATGTAACTATATATTCTAAAAAATTTTATTAAAATTCGTCAAAAAAATTCAATTCTTGAAAGAATTAAATTATTTTCAAAAAATTTAATGAAATTCATTTTAACAATTCAATTCTTTTTTCAAAATAATTTTAATAAAATTCTTTCTAGAAATTTAATTAATTTCAATAATTTATCAAAATTCAATTATTTTCAATGTCTACTATTTCAATAAAATTTCATAAAAGAATTCAATTATTTAAAAAGAAATATTATTAAAATTCGTCTCAAGAATTCAATTATTTTCAAAAGTAATATAATTCTTCAGAGAAATTCAATTATGGTCGAAAGTTTAAAAAAAAATTCTCTTTAAAATTTCAATTATCTTTATAAACAATAAAATTTTTCTCCAAAATTCAATTATTTTCAGAAATTTTAATAAAATTCTTGTCAAAATTTCAATTATTTTCAAAAACTGTTCTCAATTCAATCAAATTTTTTACAAAGATTCAATTATTTTAGAATTTTTTTCTAATTTCTCGAAAAATATAATTATTCCTAAAAATTTTATTAAAATTCCTCTCAAGAATTCAATTATTTTCAAAAGTAATAAAATTCTTCAGAGAAATTCAATTATGGTCGAAATTTAAAAAAAATTGTCTTTAAAATTTCAATTATCTTTATAAAAAATAAAATTTGGCTCCAAAATTCAATTATTTTCAAAAATTTTAATAAAATTCTTTTCAAAATTTCAATTATTTTCAAAAACGTTTCTCAATTCAATCAAATTTTTTACAGAGATTCAATTATTTTTAATAGAATTTTTTTCTAATTTCTCGAAAAATATAATTATTATCTTAAAAATTTTATTAAAATTCGTCAAAGCAATTCAATTATTTTCAAAAATTTTAATAAAATTCTTCTCAAAATTTCAATTATTTTCAAAAACGTTTCTCAATTCAATCAAATTTTTTACAGAGATTCAATTATTTTTAATAGAATTTTTTTCTAATTTCTCAAAAAATATAATTATTATCTTAAAAATTTTATTAAAATTCGTCAAAAAAATACAATTATTTTCAAAAATTTTAATAAAATTCTTGTCAAAATTTCAATTATTTTTAAAAACGTTTCTCAATTCAATCAAATTTTTTACAGAGATTCAATTATTTTTAATAGAATTTTTTTCTAATTTCTCGAAAAATATAATTATTATCTTAAAAATTTTATTAAAATTTGTCAAAAGAATTCAATTATTTTCAAAAATTTTAATAAAATTCTTCTCAAAATTTCAATTATTTTTAAAAACGTTTCTCAATTCAATCAAATTTTTTACAGAGATTCAATTATTTTTAATAGAATTTTTTTCTAATTTCTCGAAAAATATAATTATTATCTTAAAAATTTTATTAAAATTCGTCAAAAGAATTCAATTATTTTCAAAAATTTTAATAAAATTCTTCTCAAAATTTCAATTATTTTCAAAAACGTTTCTCAATTCAATCAAATTTTTTACAGAGATTCAATTATTTTTAATAGAATTTTTTTCTAATTTCTCAAAAAATATAATTATTATCTTAAAAATTTTATTAAAATTCGTCAAAAAAATTCAATTCTTGAAAGAATTAAATTATTTTCAAAAAATTTAATGAAATTCTTTTTAACAATTCAATTCTTTTTTCAAAATAATTTTAATAAAATTCTTTCTAGAAATTTAATTAATTTCAATAATTTATCAAAATTCAATTAATTTCATTGTCTACTATTTCAATAAAATTTCATAAAAGAATTCAATTATTTAAAAAGAAATATTATTAAAATTCGTCTTAAGAATTTAATTATTTTTAAAAGTAATAAAATTCTTCAGAGAAATATTCAATTATGGTCGAAAGTTTAAAAAAAATTGTCTTTAAAATTTCAATTATTTTTATAATTAATAAAATTTTTCTCCAAAATTCAATTACTTTCAAAAATTTTAATAAAATTCTTGTCAAAATTTCAATTATTTTCAAAAACGTTTCTCAATTTAATCAAATTTTTTACAGAGATTCAATTATTTTTAATAGAATTTTTTTCTAATTTCTTAAAAAATATAATTATTATCTTAAAAATAAATTTTATTAAAATTCGTCAAAAGAATTCAATTATTTTCAAAAATTTTAATAAAATTCTTGTCAAAATTTCAATTATTTTCAAAAATGTTTCTCAATTCAATCAAATTTTTCACAGAGATTAAATTATTTTTAATGGAATTTTTTTCTAATTTCTCAAAAAATATAATTATTATCTTAAAAATATTATTAAAATTCGTTAAAAGAATTCAATTATTTTCAAAAATTTTAATAAAATTCTTGTCAAAATTTCAATTTTTTTCAAAAACGTTTCTCAATTCAATCAAATATTTTACAGAGATTCAATTATTTTTAATAGAATTTTTATCTAATTTCTCGAAAAATATAATTATTCTTTAAAATTTTATTAAAATTCGTCAAAAAAATTCAATTATTTATAGTTAAAAATTTATTATTAAAACTCTTTATGGAAATTGAACTTGCAACTTTCTTCGGTTTAAATAAAAAATTCTATTTGCTCCAGAAAAAATATTTATTCGAAAGAAATAAAATTTTCATTCGAACAAATAAAAAGTTTACTAATAGTCTGTGAGACAAATGAAAAATTTATTTAACACAAATATATTAATATATATTTTTGTGTTAAATAAATTTTGTTTTTGTTTCAAATAGCATTTGTTTCAATAATGAAAAATTTCTCTCGGTGTTTGTATAATTTAATTTACCATAAAAACAAATATAAACTTAAAAAACTGAATAAATAGTTTCAGAGACAAGAGACAAATTCGATTAAAAAATAAGAAGCGACCTTTTTTTTCTTATAAAAATTAAAATTCCTTTATAAAAAAATATTTTAAAAGTAGAAAATATTAAAAATATATGAAAAAAAATATAAAAAAAGATTATAAATAAATATTTTAAAAGTTGAAAATATTTTTGCCTCTGGGAAGATTATCTTCTATTTTTTATTTATAAATTTATATACATATTAATATAATGAAAGAAATAAAGTTGAAATACATATATATGAGCTTTATCGTATAAGCATATTTGAAATTATGAGATTTAGAGAGAATATAGAATTATATTTGAACATGTTTAAGATGTACAGTCTGTAATTCCTCTTTGTGTACTTTAATCACATGTTTTCAGGCCGTCGAAATGTGGCCTGGAGCATTACCGTTGATAGCATTACTGGTAACCCTGCTACATCCGGCAAGGTAAGTGTACACTATATTTCAATACTATATATACTATATATATGAGCACACACCCAGGAAGTAAATCTCACTTTTCACCCCCCTCCCTTCCGTCCGTGAGAACGCGCATTATGCCAATAATCAGAACCCCATATATATCACACTTTATTTCAAAAATTTCAATCTAAAGAAAATTTCACTTTTTTTAGCTTATGGAGTAAATTTTTTTTAACACTTATTATTCTTATTAATTTTTTCAACTATTTTAGCTATTTTGAAAATAATTTTTTGCATAAATATTTACCATCAACTTTTAAGCATCCAAACTGGTTTATATTTGATTAATTTATAGATTATTTATTTATTTATTTTTTTTTATTTTTTTTTTATTTTTTTTTTATTATTTATTTATTTATTATTTTATTTGTATTTATTTATACACGGAGAGAGAATATATATTAAATTTTGTAAAAGTATTTTTGAGTAAAAAGTGCGACAAAGCTAAATTTTGATATAAAAAAAAAAACTAAAATTCAAAAAAACTTATGGAAAATTTAATATAATTATATCAAATATAAGGAATATTAATTAAATTCTAATAAAACTTTACTATATTTCACATAAGTTCTTTAAAAGTTTAGTATTTTTTATACTAAAATTTCGCTTTGTCGCACTTTTTCCCCAATTTGTAAAATACTTATTACAAAATTTAATATATATTTTCTCTCCGTGTATTATTTATTGTATACATACTGAAAAAAATTTATTTGATTCAAATAATCGATTACTTAATTATTATTATTATCAATTAAATATTTACTCGAATCAAATAATTTTTATTTAGTCAATTAAATAATTAAAATTCATATTTTATAGAATATCTACATATTATTTAATTTATACACTGAAAAAAAATTTATTTAATTCAAATATAAAAGATTACTTAATTATTATTATTATCAATTAAATATTTACTTGAATCAAATAATTTTTATTTAGTCAATTAAATAATTAAAATTCATATTTTATAGAATATCTACATATTATTTAATTTATACACTGAAAAAAAATTTATTTAATTCAAATATAAAAGATTACTTAATTATTATTATTATCAATTAAATATTTACTTGAATCAAATAATTTTTATTTAGTCAATTAAATAATTAAAATTCATATTTTATAGAATATCTACATATTATTTAATTTATACACTGAAAAAAAATTTATTTGATTCAAATATAAAAGATTACTTAATTATTATTATTATCAATTAAATATTTACTTGAATCAAATCATTTTTATTGAGTCAAATGATTCAATTCATATTTGCTTCAACTATACTGAAATTATTGATTCAAAATTTCAAATACACTTCAAGTAATTATTTTCTTCTATAATAATTATTACATTCTCATTTTTTTTTTAAATTAAAAATGATAAAAAACAGGAAAAACAATATTTACTTAGAACAACGATATTTTTCCCTTAAATAGCGTAACTTTTAACTGAAACAACTAAAAGTTTGGCTAATTTAGTTAAATACGTTATAGCTGTTCCGGGTAAAATTTTGCCTTTTAAGGAAAAAATGTTGAAACTAACAAATTAATTTCGAAATTATTAAGAAAAAAGAAAAAGTGTTTACATGAAATAAATTCTTCTTTTTGAAGAAAAGGGCAATACATAATATTTTATGTAAACGAAGAAAGAGGAAAAAAAATATTGTCAGAAAGTACTTGATTGTTGATTGAAAACAGAGGGTATGGAAAACATAAAGTAGTCCTTATTCTGCATGCGAGAAAAAGAAATTCAATTTTCATATTTTCTACGCTGTAGTTTACAAACTTCATAAAACTGTTAAATAAGTTTAACAAGTAAACAAAATACACTTATTTTTCGTAAAGTGACTTTCACAAAACTCTGCATTTCACAAGACTTGAAACACACGAATGTTTATATTTCTTCAAAATATGGTTTCAAAAAAAAAAAAAATACAAATTTATTTATTTTTTGAATTAATTTTCCATCGAAATTATCTGGAATAATTATTAGCATTATTATTATTATTATTATTATTTTTTTTATTATTATTTTTATTATTATTATTATTATTATTATTATTATTATTATTATTGTAATTGCTATTATTAATAGTCAAATTTTTCGCAAAATTCAATTATGTTACAAAATTTTTAAAAATTCTTGTCAAAATTTCAATTATCTTTATAAATAATAAAAATTTTCTCCGAAATTCAATTGAAAATTCAATTTGAAAATTTGAAGAAAATTCTTGGCAAAATTTCAATTTTTTACAAATTTTTCCTCAATTTAATGATTTTCAATATTTACTATTTTAATAAAATTTTTCAAAAGAATTCAATTATTTTAAAAGAAATTTAATAAATTATTTTCAAATTTTTCTTTAATTCAATGATTTTCAATATCTACTATTTTCATAATATTTTTCAAATAAGAATTCAATTATTTTAAAAGAAATTTAATAAAATTCTACGCAAACCTTAATTATTATTTTCTTAAAATAATAAAAATTTCACAGGAATTCAATATTATTTAGAAAATTTTTATAAATTTCTTCTCAATCATTCAATTATTTTCATAAATAATAAAATTTTCACAGGGATTCAATTATTTTCGTAAATAATTAAATTTGTTTTTAAGGAATACAATTATTTTCATAAATAATAAAACTCATTGCAAAATTTCAATTATTTTTAATACTATTTTAAATTAATTAATCGAAAAATGTAATTATTCTTACAAATTTTAATAAAATTCGTCAAAGAATTCAAATTATTTAAAAAATTTGTTGATAAAATTCTTTATGAGAATTGAATTTTAAGAAACATGCAATTATTCAATAAATTGTTTTATTTCTTTAAATAATTGAATTCTAGTAGAATTTTCTATTAAAAATTGATTTAAAAATTAATTTCAGTTAAAATTTTATATAATAATTGAATATTAAAAGCATTAGAGCGTGAATTTTTAGAAATAATTGAATTTTGAAAAGGTTTCAAATTAAAATCTTTGAAAATCTGAATTTTTTATAATTTTAACTAACAATTCTGTGGAATTAATTTTTTTTGAAAAAGTTTAATTGCGGATTTTGTTTTGAAATTATTTTAAGTTTTTATTTTTCAATATATATTTAATTGGAGAATTTACGAATAATTGAAATTTTGTAAAATTGAATTGTAAACAAATAAATTTGAAAATTCTCAAAAAAACTTTTTCAAAAATGATTAAAAATAATGCATTATTAGAATTTTATAGAATTTTAGTTAAAAACACGAAAGGAAAATTTAATTTTGGAAAAGTTACAAATTATTGCAGAAATTCAATTATTTTCAAAAGTAATAAAATTCTTATCACAAAATTCAATTATGTTCAAAATTTACCAAAAATATTTCGACAAAATCCCAATTATTATCTTTATAAATAAAAAAATTCTTCAAAATTCAATTATTTTCAAAAATTTTAATAAAATTCTTGTCCTAATATCAATTATTTTCAAAAATAAAATGCATTTTCCTCATTTCAATGATTTTCAATATCTACTATATTTTAATAAAATTACCCAAAAAAAATTAAATTATTTAAAAACAGTTTTAATAGAATTGTACGCAAACATTTAATTATTTTCATAAGTAATAAAAATTTTACAGGAATTCAAATATTTACAAATTTTTTATAAGCTTCTTCTTAATAATTTAATTATTTTCAGAAACAATAAAACTCATTGCAGAATTTCAATTATTTTTAATACAATTTTAATTGATTTCTTCGAAAACTTCAATTATTTTTAAAAATCTTATAAAAATTCTATGAGAAAATTTAATTATTTAAAAAAATAATTGAATTTTTCACAAGAGTTGAATTATTTAAAAAACTTTTAATAAAATTCAATTCAAGAATTCAATTATTTTGAATACAATTTTAATTGAACTTCCGGGAAAATTAAATTATTTTTAAACATTTTTTTTTAAATTCTTCAAAAGATTTCAATAATATCAATAAATAATAAATTTTTCATTTTTTTAAACAATCTTATTAGAGTTTTTGTAAAAAATTACATTTCTTTGAAGAATTTTATTAAATTTCGTAAAAAAAGTGTAATTTTTTGAATTAATTTTAATTGAAAATTTTGAAAAGTTACAAATTTATTTCAGAAATTCAATTATTTTCAAGAGTAAAATAATATTCTTCGCAAAAATTAAATATTATTCATGAATAATAAAATTCTTTTTAAAAATTCAATTATTTTCATAAATAATAAAACTCATCGCTCAATTCAATGATTTTCAATATCTACTATTTTCATAAAATTTTCCAAAAGAATTCAATTATTTAGAAAGAAAAATTTAATAAAATTCTACACAACCTTTTTAATTATTTTCAAAAAATAGTAAAAATTTCACAGGAATTTCATTATTTACAATTTTTTTTTATAAATTTTTTCGCAATCATTCAATTATTAAATAATAAAATTTTTACGGGGATTCAATTATTTTCGTAAATAATAAAATTCTTTTTATAAATTTAATTATTTTCTTTATTTCGTTATTAATGTTTCTATTTAAATTTTAAATAATTGAAATTCTAGTAGAATTTTATCATAAACATTGATTTAAAAATTAATTTTAGTTAAAATTTTAGATTATAATTGAATTTTAAAAGCATTAGAGCTTAAGTTTTTTGAAATAATTGAATTTTGAAAAGTTTTGAGATTAAAATCTTTGAAAATTAAAATTTTTTATATTTTTCACTAACAATTCTGTGGAATTAATTTTTTTTTTTCAAAGAAACTTATTAATTGCGGATATTTTTTAAATTATTTAAAGTTTTTCAAATATATAATTAATTGGAGAATTTACGAATAATTGAAATTTCGTAAAATTGAATTGTAAACAAATGAATTTGAAAATAGTCAAAGAACTTTTTCGAAAATTATTAAAAATTAATGTAGATAATCGATTTAAAGAAGAATTTTAATTAAAAAA